GAATCGTACATTAAGCAGTGACTGCACATTTGCAGCCACAGCAAAACATCTGGGAACAACATGTTTTTTGTAACATCTTCCAAAAAGCATACAGCTGTTTAGCTGCACAGGGCTAGAAAAAAAAGAAAAAGAGCTTTGTAAAAGATGAATATTGGCTTTTTTTTCTGTTCTAATTTGTATTAGAACTGTCGTATTTACCTCGGGAACTTTTGGAGGGACTTGACCCCAAGAACTGAGCTGTAGCATTAGCGGCCTCTGGTAGAACATCTTTTCCTTCAGAGTTCTGTTATTTTTCTTCGTTAAAATAGTAAATCTTTTAATCATGTTTTTATTTGCAGCTTTGCAAATAGATTTATATGCAACCCCACCAACAGTGAAAAAAGAATCTAGAATTCATTCCTCCTAATAACGTTTAATCTCCACACAGAAGATGAGTTTTCTTCGGAGCTGTGAAAAGCCTCATTAGCCAGAACAAAGCTTAAAATGAAATACTGAGAACAAATAACAGTGGGCTCTGGACCATTTGTCCTCACGCATCCATCAGCGTGTTTTATTGTATTTGCTGCACGTGGAATGCTGAACATGAAACGCCGTGACCTTGTGACGTGAGAAGAGGGCCGTCTGTAAACAAACCGGGGCTGCATTCGGTCCCCTGAGACGCTGCGGTTCGACCCGATCCGATAGCCACAGCCGATGAGATGAGAATGGATGGATCTTCACTGGAGGAGGCCTCCGGGACTTGAAATGTTCTCTGTGGGTCTGCGGTTCTCATGGCCTCGCAGACAAAGGTTTTGGGCAGTTGGTGACTTCTGGGACGACGTCTTTGGAGGCTGCAGTCGGACAAACGGCCTTCCTCCTTTCCTGGAACTCATTGGGGCTTCCAATGAGGCTGTGTTAATACGTGGTCCTCCTCACTGCTCCTTACTTGTAAATAGTTTTTAGCATCTTTCAGCTCGTTGTTTATTTTATTTTAATGCCTGCAACTCCATACTTTCATCTAAACATTTATCTTCAACAACAAACCTTTGAGAACACCAAAAGGGAAAGAATTAGCGACCGGCAGATGACGACCAAGTTGGTGGGAAGCTCCAGAAGAGTGAATCTTTGATTTACAATCATCCAGTGGGCATAAACACGAATAGAACATGAATTTCTACATATTTGCTGAACGTGTTTGGAAGAATCAACTTCAAATTGTTTCTGATGCCTGAAAGTGGAACAAAGCAATTGTTGCAGGTTTTAATAGCCACAAGGTGACCAAAAGGCTTCTAGTCAGAACATCAAGCCATGAAGGTATGAAAGAAGACACAACGAACCATCAACCTGCTTTGAGTCTGAAAGCCGCCTTTCGTGTCACAGCAATCCTTGTTTCATCTAAAGGCATTAAATGCTAGAAAGACAAAGGTAAGACAGCTGTAAAGGTTTACATAAGGAGTGAGAGGTCATGAGGAAGATTGTTAATGGTACGGCTGTGTGGGGAGCACGCTTTGTCGCTCCTCCAGACGAAGGTCAAGCTTCCACAGCACATTATTTCTCGCTCGTCACTGCCGGTTCCATTCTGTGTCCTGACCTCGAGTGAGACAGAAAATGTGTTGCGGCTTCTTCACTGGACTTGCTGACTGTTGTTTTGAAAAGTCAATGCAAAGTCGTTGCCCTTCATCCTGAAGAGTGCTGTTTACACTGAATTATGTCAACTGCAAACGTCTGGTGCATGAGCTTGTTGGCGTAGTTTGAAATCCTCACTTACTTTTGTCATTTACCTCTGCAACAGTCACGTTTATACGTTCGATCTTTTCTTCAGTCGCTCAGTTTTTCTCCACACAGAAGAGCATCTCTTTCTCTTTCCCAAAACAACGCCGCCCTCTAGCGGCGAGTCCTTAAACCTCTGGATTGGGGATTTAAACAAGCTCATTTGTAACTGTTTATCTTAAACTTGAACTCCACACACACAATAATACTCATATATTTAATAATCTGTTTCATTTATATTATTGTGCGAGACATTTTGGCAGTAATAAAAACTCGTACTGCAACATTTGGCAAAATAACTGTTTGATCCAACACCTTCAAAGAGCCACCAGAGGTCCATGTGTTACAGCACAACAGGCCAGCAAAAAAAAAAAACTGTTCTGGTCGGAAATACTTTGTCACTTCACAGCTTTTGGTAAAGAATTAAATATAACTACCTTCTAAACGTCAGTAAGTAACCATATGCTTTGTGTGGATATGACCACATGGCATGTTTGTACACTAGTATTTTGTAGTAAAAAATAGCAGGAAGTGGTTAAAAGAAAAGTAATTATGCTATTTATGGTGCAGGAAGTAACACAAACATCGTAAAGAGGATTTTTTTTTAAAGCTCTCTAGACACTTTGACACATCTGACGGTTACGGATACATTTTTTTTTTTGCTGATTGCAATGTGCGATAATGAACATCCTCACTGACAAGAAACAAGACCAACCCTCCAGGGGTCAGAGGTCAGGTCGCCGAGGTCGAGGCTCCAGACTCGTGTCGTTCCTGAGAACCTCTTAAACGAAGGAGTGAGGGAAGAAGGAGTCAAGGAGTTCATAAATCGGACTGCCTCGCATTTTCAACTGCGCTCCTCGTCACATTTCACGGGCCCTCGGTTTGGACGTTCGCCGTCATCCATCCCGCCGCCTCGTTTCCCGGCTCGCGGTGGCCTACGTGTCTCTCCGCTGGGCCGCGTCAGCCCACAGCTACAACAAACAAGCCAGCTGTAAACAACAGAACATCTATTTGCAGTGAATCAGTGTTATTTACTACTCCGTTCACGCACCTTTGTTTCTGCAGAGGCGGCAGTGACGTGTTCGGGGAGTCAGATAAAGGGTATTTCTCACCAACGCTTTCCTGTTATTTTGCAGGGTCCTTTGTTTGCTTTGCGAGGCCTCTGCCTGTCCGTTCTCAGGGGAACGAGAGGAACGTACTGAATACTCCGGACACACACTGCTCCCATACCTGCCTGCATCCCTGTGTGTGTGTGTGTGTGTGTGTGTGTGCGTCACCTCTTGCTTGGATTGAGGAGATGAATTTCAGAAAACTTCAAAACCCCTTTAAATTCTACGATATATTATCCTAAAAAAATGATCAGGTTTGAATTCATAATGGTTCAAATGAAACTTGAGAAAAAATTAGAAGAAGGAAAGGGAACATTCACTTAAAGTTTGATGCAAACTTACAGATTTTGTGTTTCATAAACAAAAAAATGCCCTCATTTGCCACTTTATTCAGTACAAAAATAACACAATGGATAATAGTAGTGAAATAAAAGTTACTCAAAGTCATCAGACGTAGATTCAGAGCTTGTTTGTTGATTGGTATTTTGGTATTTAGTTGTTGAGTTTTCATTTGAATATTATAATATTAATATAAGTTAAATAAAAAGGATGGAAGGTGTCCTCGTCCATCTCTCGACAAGAGGACGGGGCCTTTGTTGCTTTTTTGAGACAAAAAAAACCTTGCTTTTAAATTCCTGTCCTGGGCAGACACAACAACAACAGGAAGAAGGGACATTTTCACAGGTGTCAGGAAGCACAGGAAATAAACAAGCTGAATACTGGAAAACATTTTGGTGAGAGTCAGAGGTGAGGCTAATAAGGATATTTTTAGCTGGGGCAGAATCCCGACAGAATGTTGAATGATATGATTTGGATTTTACGCACTTTGATTCTGTGTGGCGGTGGTTAAATAGGGAGAAAATACATTGACCTCCGTTCAAGAGCTGCATATTGTGTTTGATCATAGAAAACGTTTGGAAGGAGGAAATGACAAAGGTTAATATTTAATCAAATCATTTACTGCATTTATCACAGTGCATTTTTTAAAGACTGCAATACGACTTTGTTGAGTCCCGTTACAAAATGCTTCATAAACACACATCATGTATTTCTAAAGATCACAACGTATCATTGGATTAATCTGTGGTCGGATGTCTCAGCGGAGGCTGAGAGACAAATCACAACTTTTATGAATGTTTCCCTTCAGGGAGGAAATGTAAAAATGTGCTTTTCTCCAGAAAGACCTTGAACAATGACTCAAAGTGTGGATATTTTTTATTCATGTGTTTTCATGCAGCTATGAAGGCAAAGCTGAGTTAAAACATTTCATTGGATGTTAAACTCTCCCAAATTCTCTCCCGTCTGGGATCTTTCGTAAAGCAAATAAACCCGGTAAACCCAGACTTTGATCCTTGTTTCTTCTTGCGCTATTTTTCCTCGACTGACAAATGTTTTCTGCGTGGGACCAAAGAATATTCGGCTATTCGTGGAAATAGAGTAAGTAGATCGTTCCAAGTCCTGAGAGTCCAGCGCGCCTGATAAGTCCTCTGCTCCTATAGTGCCACTTCACATCATCATCGTGGGAAATAAGAACTCCTTCTAGACATATTTCTATCCAGACGCTTCTGTTGAGGTTATTAATGTCTTCTCCTTTTCGCCCACAGAAATCCTAATCAGAATTTAGTTTGCTTCAGTTTCTGGGAAAAGTATTTTGTAACAAGTCTTTTTCTTTTTTTAATTCATTTTTCTTAGATCCTGCACTATTTTTACGTAAAGTCACTTTACGTAAAGATTTGATTTGATTTTTTTATTATTTATTCATAATAGCAGCGTAGATATTCAAGCGAGAACAATAATTCCAACATGGTCCCAAGATGTTATGAGACGGACACAAAACATGCAGCTTAATACAACATGATCTTCCTGTTTGGACTTAACAGTTTCCCCAACCTTCATTCTCTGAATTCATACGAGCATTTCTTTAATGAATGTCCTCTGTAGAGACGGGAGAGTTACTAAGTTACGCATCGGACTCCGCGGCGTTCATAATAGTATCTGGAAAAGCAATTTATAGCAAAGAATCTTTGCTTCAATTCCAACTTCTTATTGTGATGAAATCCAGCTAACTGCCCATCCCTTGGATATAACTAACAAATAATGCAAAAGAGATCCTCGATTATCGGACAATGAAACAACATTAAACATGTGTGATAACTTTGGTTTAATTGGGCTGTCTTTACATTGGCTGGTGTCACATACATGATAATTCCAACATCTACTTTTCATAGATCCAGTACAAATATGATATCATTATGGAAAACTTCAAATAAAACTTAACTCTTCTTTCTCTCAACAATATGCACACTAAACGACGTCTACACTGCAGCTCGTGGGAACAAAGTCTTGAGAATCAAAGGAAGAAGAGAGAAAAAGAGAATAACATACAACCGTCTGGTGCATTTCATAGAGAAGATGCTCGATTTAAAAGAGGACCAAACAAACAAAACCAAACCTCCAAATGCTGTAAAAAAGTTTCTCATTGTTTAACATAATAAAATATATCTTTCAGTTCATTTATAAGTTAATGCTACATGTACACCGAATAGATTCAGTCCTGTCAGCACTTGTCAGCGAGGGTTGAGTCGCTTGGGAGCGGTGGGTCTGTCCGTGTGGGGATCCGTGTCCTGGGCAGTACTGACCTCTCCTGAGCCCACGTCCCCCCCTGAAAAGACAAGCGAGAGGATCCATCACTCTTCCAATTCATGTTGAATTTCACAAATGATACGATGATCAATCTTCTTCTCTTTTTTTTTTTTTTACCTTCTTGAGGCTCAGTCTTGAGTTTGCCGGCGATTTTGGCAAAGAATTTGAGGGTGAGACAAGCTCCCGTCTCCCGGTCACATATGCCGCCTTTGCAGTTGCATGTCCTGCGGCACTCCATCCCGTAGGTTCCATACAGACAGTCTGCAAACACAGAAAACAGCACTTTAGACTCCTTCACCTTTTTCTTGCAAAAGGGGTTGTTGTTGATCATTTTCCATGGTTAAATGTACATAGTCACTGTCAGAATAATGATGAGTGATTCAGACAAATGGTTAAACTGCAAGATTGTTCAAATGTCAAGTTTAATGTCCAATTTGTATTTGAAGCAAATATTCACATTAACTATGTGTCAATCTTCCATGTGACAATTCAATAAACATGAGCCCTAACGACTGAAATAACAAGCTGGGATACTGCATTGGGTGCAGCAGGCATCGCGTAATCAAAACGCAGCACGCAGGCACAGACACAACACGCTTGGTCACGCGTGCATGTTGAACCGCGAGCGCACACCAACCTTTGCAGATCCCATATTCGTCTCCGTAATCGTCCTCGTCCTTGTAGAACTCGCAGAATAATCCCGGCCCGCACTTCACCCCGTGCATCCCGGACACCGTGCGGTAGCAGTGCTCCCCGCGTCCGGCCGCGCAGACCTGGCAACAGCCGCAGTCGTCCAGCACCGTCCGTGCGCACCGCTGCGTCGCGCCGCACCGCTCCGCGCTGCATCGGTCGGGGCAGTTCACCGCGTACTTGACGTTGGCGCCCCAAGCCGCGGCGTCGCGCAGCATGAGCGAGGACAGCAGTGTGATGAGGAGGAGAGACATGTCCCTGGATGCAGGGAGAAGTGGGGGCTGAGGTGCGGGAGGAGGGCGGAGGGCTGGTGCAGTGAGGCGGCCGGCCGGCGGCGGTCTGTTTTGGGACGCAGAGGACGGAGAAGCGGAACGCCACTGGAAGACTGGAGTGGAGTGACCCTCTGGTGCTTCGGGTCGTGTGTGGTTATCAGCGATGAGCAACTTTGTTTTGCACATGGCTTTGCCCCCTCGTCAATTTCCTCATTCCGGTGTTGTCGTCCTTTTTTTTTTCGCCAGTCAGCCCCCTTGTTTTGGAAATCCGGTTTGGAAGTGGGATTAACTCAGGACCGCCATCCAGGAATTGAAATGCGTGTGACCTGATGTCACGAATTATGTTTGGTCTTTCACACACACACACGCACACACACACACACACACACACACACACACACACACACACACACACACACACAACCCCCGCCACCGCAGAAGTGTCTGGCTCAATTTGAATAACTTCTGAAGTTAGGTCACAACATATTAGAAATAATATTGACATTATTATATGACAATATAAATCATATTGTATAGGCTCTCATAAGGATTTTTTTGAATGACCTTGGTCTAAAGTTTAAACTTAAAAATACAAAATAAAAAGCTCTTAATTATGGTATTATTTAACACAACACCGAGGCTTTATTTCTTTTAGCATTTTATTTAATTTTTTTTAATGTCAACTTTTAAAATGGCAATTTTAAATGCCAATTTGTTGTTTTATTTTCTCCTAATGATTTTTTTAACAGACATGATATTCATAAAAACACGACGACGATGGCGGTGATATTTGAGACGGTTGTTCCTCTCCGAGACACAAGGCGGCGCCATCCGACTCCGGCGCTGCCCTCAGCGATCGGACTTCAAGCAGACGAAGAAGAAGAAGAAACAGGAGAAGGTTGATATGATATTCACGTCTGAGGGAGACCTCACCGGGACGGGACAGGTAATGCAAAACACTTATCTGCGGAGTTATTATTATTTTATTTCACAGCCATGGCTTACCTGTTCGTGGTGTAATTTATTTGTATAGCAAACACGGTAATATCTTAACACGACGCTGTCGAGCCGGGGGAGTATGTTGTTTCGGGGAGCTGTCAGCCGACCAGCGGAGGGGCTTGGTCGGTTTTGACAGCCATGGACCAGACTAGCAACCGCACTGCAGCCAACCGTTAGCTCAGCTGCTGGCGCCGCGGATGCAGTAAAAATGTTACCGGTGTTTCATGTCAATGACACCGGGGCGACTGCGTTTTAAAAATGCACGTATTTTATTCTGGGCTCTTTATAGCTACGTGGGTGAAACCTAGAAGCCAAACGTAACGTTACACGGAGCTAACGTTAACTGTCGCCGGAGAAGAAACACGCGTCGTTAGTTTATAACATTACATTTATTAGCTAAATAATATTTTTTGGCATTCCCCATTAGCACGAATGCCCCAATTCCATGCCGAACTTCTGACACATGGCGGCGTGTTTCCCCTCCAGCATCTTTATATAGCGAAGTTGCTGTCGGACATTATGTTAGCTCGCGTTGTGGTGAATCCATCCAAAGCTAACGTTAGCAACGGTTTGTTAACAGCAGTTCGTTTTTACGTTGGCTAACTGCTAATTGCGGTCGCGGTTGTCGTGGCAACAGAGAAACCGTTGTCTCAGCAACTTCCTCCAGCTTATTAGTGGGTGACTTTCAACGCCCTGGATCACCTCCAGCTGCTCCTGGTGGAGGTCCTACAGATAGCTGAGCTTCTCCCTCTCTCCTAGATTCTACACTATTATTCTCATTAATAGTTTTCCTCGGTCTCATTTCATTTCAATTTGAAATTGTTTAAATTAAACAATTAATATCAATATTCAAGCATTCGTTTGAATAGGAAAGATACATCAACAAGGAAAACATCCACTGTGTACAATATGTTATGCTTAGGAACATTTTGAGTACCGGTACTATTAATTGTCACGCCTCTGTAGGGATGGGCAATATGTAATAAATCAAATACTGCAATTTTATCACTGGTATTGATTTTTTTTATTGGTATTGATGGACTCTCAGAATACTGCTCAATTTATAATATGTAATCGTATCAGATGTTTTGTGTGTGATTGTGTGTAATGTAAATGCTCCAGATGGACTGACAAAAATCTGAATCGAGCTAAGTGAGGTCCAGCGGGGAATAGAGCGAGACAAACTCAAAAGTTGTCCTTAACGTACGCACCCTCACATTACAGATAGTTTGTATTCAGTGATGTTTGTACTTTACATTGCTGCTGGTTGCCTGCTGCTGGTTGCGTGACCCGGAGAGTCCATTGCTATATCAATGCAGGTTGTTATTTTTGGCCAGAGTGGAAACCATATAGCCCCGCAGGCCTCCGGCAAGGCAAGCGAGATGTCTGTGGACTATAGTGGCATGCTTGCATATTTAGCAGCAGCAAGCATTCTCTCGCTCAGACTGGTCCATGCATTTGTTATTCCCTGCACGTGTCTACTCGATCGTTACTAAACTATTGTTTTACTTCTCAAACCAACAGTTCGTTTAACCTCAACCTGCGTGTTGCTTCTAAGGAACGACATGCCATTATCTTGAGCACATGATAGAAATGAGTTTGTAACAAATGGCACAGTGATTGTGTAAATAATAATCCTAGTATTATTGGACGGTTGCCAAATCTAACCTTTTATCCAGTTTAGAATTACTACAGTAAATGTGGATAATGCCATGGAAATGTTATGCAACCAATATGGCCATGACATCACCTTGTAAGATATGACTGCTGTGGGTCAATCACATGATCTGTTGGGAAAATGGGAAAACAGTAATCTGTATTTTTATTCCCGAATGTGTAGATTTTCTCCTCATGAGCAACAGCAGACTCGCTGTTAATTTTATTACAAAGGAAGTGCAGACGAACAGGCCGGGTGTTTTCTTTGCATGGGATTGTATTTCAGAGTGGCAGTTGACCATCTTGTAAGCAATTGCTATGACAACCACATTGAGAAGATGAATGCATTTTGAAGGGGGGACATTTCACTATCACTCATGAGCCTAACTGAATTCTTTGACTTTTTTTTGTTATTTCAATAATACTTTTCAATGTTAAAAAACAGTAAAAATCACTTTTGTATTGTGTAACACATCAGCTTGTGAGACAAAAGTCTCCTCGTTAGCGTGGGTGTGTTGATTAGCTGTTATTAAAAGGGTTTAGCCGACCTATTTCAGTGATACCCACCGGGCCTATGCCACTAGCCTGGATGTAGAGCATGCTGGAAAAGTTCCAAGTCTAAAGAGAAACTCGACACCTTCACCCTGAATTTGGTTGGAAAACGCATGGGTTCATCGGCTTTCAGCTACAAATGTACCTGAGTTTAAAAAAAAAGGAGGCAATTTCATTATGTTAATCAAGTGACTGGGATGATATGTCTGAATTGCCCTCGTGAATTGCACTCTTTCAATTAAATATCCCTCTGGGTTTTTCCAGGTGCACATCAGAATATAGATAATGCCAAGACATGGTGCCTTGTCAGACCCACGTGTTGCTGAAGTGGCAGGAGCACTTCAATAGCTCCTGGGCAGCGGAAGACAGTGTACAGACAGCCAGGAGGCATGGAGCTGCGGTGCTCTACAATAAGCTCCTTCTAAACAAGGAAGTGGTGACTCTGGCCCAACCTGTCCAAGAACTCGTCGGCCCACGCCTGCCAGACTTTGAGTGCGAGTCCAGTGCCTCGGCGGAGAAGGAAGAGTACCTTTCATCACTGCTTCACAGCCAGCGATGGCTGGCCCACCGGATGCTGACGCAGACCTCTTACACCTTGGGCCTCCACCACAGGCTGGTAGTCCTCCAGAGGATCTACTACGCACTTCACAGAAAATACCATGACAAGTTCCGCGTGCAGCTGCCCTCCCAGTCCACGGAGAGTGGCACCGAATGTGGGCAACTCGAGCTGGCCTCGGAGCCCTGCCGGCCAGGGGGAGCATCAAAGGTCAAGTCCGGCACGGACGTTCTGATCGAGATGGGCGTGAGGACAGGTCTGAGCCTGCTCTTCTCGCTGCTGCAGCAGAACTGGAGGTACGCGGCTTCCGTGCACCCGGAGTCGGTGCTCTGCAATGACGTGCTTGCCACGGCGTCCTCTGTGCTGACGTCTCTGCCACCGCTCTCCCTGGCCAACGAGAACAAGATCCCGTCAGTCGGGCTAGACTGCCTGTCACAGGTGTCCGACTTCCTGAAGAAGACTTCTGTGAGCAGTGGGACCGGTGGGGCGGACCCGACGGGCAGGAGGCTAGCGCTAGAGCTGCTGCTCGGCCTGGCCATGCAGAGAGGCTCTCTGAAGTTTCTGCTGGAGTGGGTGGAGGTAGCTTTGGCTGCTTCTATGTCCTCCTCATCCTCCTCTTCTCTGTCTTCCTCCTCCTCACTGAGCTCCCAGAACTCTGCTGGTGTGGGCTTTGATGTCATCCATCAAACACTCCTCCAAATGAAGCAATATTCGGTAGGTCTCCATATTTTGGACCTGTTTTGCTTTTTATGCTCTGCTCATTTCAATATGAATGGCTGTTAAGCTGTACCTTGGTATGTTACCTTATTAGTTACCTTATTATAAGTAATCTTGCTTTGATGTAGTGTGGTCAGTTCCCAAAGTATATGAACAGTTATGAACATACTGATTGATAGAAAAGCAGGGAAATTGCTCTTCGATCTGAACCTGCAGTAAGCTGATATTTTCACTGGAAGAGTGTCATTTCAATCTTGGAGAGATGCATTAGTGTGCAGATATGGATTCAGATTGAGCCAGTCTGTATTGTCTGTGTCTGTATTGAGTCATCCCCTAGCAGGCTAATCAACATCCTCTTGATTGATTTAGCCCGTTCGTCACTCAATGTAGAGCTCTGTAGTAGCTTAAGGAGGAGAACACCACTTGAGATCTCTTTCTTGACTTCACAGTCTGCCTGATCATGCAGCAACTTGTCACTATGTTTGGAATGGCGGATTGTAAATTCTGGTTTAGTTGTAAATTTCTCCCTCCCCTCACAGGGTTTCCGAGGGGATTCTGTCAATACTCAGGTGCCGAAAAAGGATGCAGATGGACTTTGCCGACTCTCCCAGGCAGCGCTGTGCCTGTTTGAGGAGGTACGCATTGTAACACCATTCAGGCAACTGATATATTTCCAGCAATTGGCTTTATGGACCTCTTCTTCCCCCCTTTTGACAGATTTGTAACCTGGCATCCTACTGCCTGTGCTCCTGCGGCACTAATGCGGCTGCTCCTGGTTCAGAGAGTGACACGGTCGTGGTGTATGTGTGGGGCAGCAACAGCAGCCATCAGCTGGCAGAGGGGACTCTGGAGAAAATCCTGCTGCCAAAGCTGACTCAGGGCTTCAGTGATGCTCAAATGGTACAGCTGCACACACGAAAATAACGCAATGATGATGATAACCCGTAATATAATTTTTAACTTACCGTTTTTGTCGTTTAGATTGAGGCAGGCCAGTACTGTACATTTTCAGTATCTGCTGATGGTTCTGTGAAGGCATGTGGAAAAGGCAGCTACGGCCGCCTGGGCCTGGGGGACTCCAACAACCAGTCAATGCCCAAGAAACTTGTGCTTGAGCCACATAGGAACATGAAGAAAGTGTCCTCCTCCAAGGGCTCTGATGGTCACACTTTGGCCATCACTCTAGAGGGAGAGGTAAAAAGTTAAAATAGCTACTATGTGTTCTGATACATATTTCTCAGATCTGCAGACTTGTATCCAAATGTTTCAAATTTATATCCGTTTACATTCAATTCTTGACGGTGATAAAGCAGTTTAGAAGCAGTTAAATTGGCTGACATGTGAAGCAACATGATTTGGACACTGCTTTTTCCCTTTACTTCCTTTGATGGTGTTTGTAGGGTTGTACATGACAAATAGCATTATGAATCGTAGAATATTCCAAACATCTTTTCCAGGTGTTCAGCTGGGGTGATGGAGAGTACGGGAAACTGGGCCATGGCAACAGTGCAACACAGAAATACCCCAAAATCATACAAGGGCCGCTATTTGGCAAGGTAGGCATTAAAGAAAAAACACCTATTTTATTCATGCATTCTGTTTCATTAAAATCCACTTGCGTTTTGAGATAATTTTACATACATTATGCTGTCTCTGCCAGGTTGTTGTTTGTGTGTCTGCTGGCTACAGACACAGCGCTGCTGTGACTAATGATGGAGAGCTCTATACCTGGGGAGAAGGCGACTTTGGCAGACTCGGTACACACTGTCGTGCACATTTGTCTCATCCGTTCCAGTCGAGCATTTCTGTGACAACCTCTGTTGTCATGGGTTTCCCCCCCCCCCCGAACAGGCCACAGTGACAGTCAGAGCCGGAACGTGCCCACGCTAGTGAAGGACATCAGCGGTGTAGGGCAGGTCGCCTGTGGCAGCTCCCACACGGTTGCTGTGGCGCAGGATGGACGTACTGTGTGGTCCTTTGGGGGAGGGGACAATGGTATGTTGACAGATGATATATAGCTTGATTTAAGACCATGAAGCAGTGTCTGCGTGAACTGATGGAAATCATATTTTCAGTGCAAGTATATAGCTTCTGTTTGCTTGAAGACAGCAAACACTATTAACTTGCTACTTGTTAACCTGAAGGACAATACCATAGTAGGATCGTCTATCTTAACCGAGATCTATCCGCTTAAGGCGGAGTTAAATAAGGCAGTTTTTCATACATGACTCACCGTTGCAGGTAAACTAGGTCACGGGGACACCAATCGTGTGTATCGCCCCAAGGTCATAGAGGCCCTGCATGGATTCATCATCAGAAAAGTGTGTGCTGGCAGCCAGTCATCTCTGGCCCTTACCTCTGCAGGACAGGTGAGTTGTGTTGTTGATGCACACGCTTCATGTTTTGAGTTGTTTTGTATACAATCAAGGACAATTGTAATACAGCATTTTTTTCCAAGCTACTAACACCCACAAAAATATGTCAATTTTGCAATACTTTTTCAGTGGGCAATAGGCTCAATCTTTATTGTTTTACCTCCTTCAGCGAGAGAGTGACTTAACAGACATTTATTTGAATGAAAAGCTTTGATACTGCCACTCTCGTTCTTCATCAGCTCTTTATTCAATGATATCCAAAATGCAATGATGCAATACAGATACATGTAAAGAGATACAGAAAAGACACACATGTTTATTCCTTTCGCTCATTTAGGTGTTTGCGTGGGGCTGTGGCTCATGTTTAGGCTGTGGCTCCTCTGAGACAACCTCTCTGAGACCCAGGTTCATAGAAGACCTTAGTATCACCAAGATCATTGACATATCATGTGGAGACAGCCACTGTCTGGCCCTGACGCACGGTAAGAAACCGCCAGCAGTTAATAGCCTGTTTCTTTTTTTTCTTGTATCTATAGACATGTTATTGTGAATGTGCTCTTACAGAGAATGAAGTGTATGCCTGGGGGAACAACACCATGGGCCAATGTGGGCAAGGCCACACCTCAACACCGATTACCAAACCCAAGAAGGTGCTCGGTCTGGAGGGGGTGTCGATCCAGCAAATCACTGCCGGCACTTCCCACAGCCTTGCTTGGACCGCAGATCCAACTGACCGGTAAAAAAAACACCCAAATGTGTTCATCTGCTGATGTCCACGTCTGCCTTTTTTGTCATCCCCTAGTCTTATTGGTTCTGATGTTTATGTATTTCAAAGTGCGTGACTTCTTTTCCAGGCAGCTGGTGGCGTGGCACAGGCCCTTTTGTGTCGACTTAGAAGAGAGTACATTCACCTACCTACGCAACTTCCTCGAGAGTTACTGTGACGGCATCGGGAATGACACCCCCCCTGCCCCATTCTTATCTAAAAGGTATAAAAATCAATGAACATAATGTGATTATTAAATCATGTGCAAAAATACGTATTTGTGGCCTGTTGACCTCTGATCAGTTAATCTAATGTTTTTATTACGTCCCCCGTAACAAAGAAACCCCATCGAATCCCTCCCCGTAATGTTCCTCCTATCCACTCACCAACATTCTCTGTATACATTTCTCAGGGACCATCATCAGTTTATTTTGCTGTGCATGAAGCTGCTGTCCATCCACTTATCCTTGGCCCATGCTGGGGGCACTGGAGCCATGGTTTTGGGGGCTCAGGGCAGACCACTAAGAAACCTGCTCTTTCGGCTCATAGATACCAATATGCCAGACTCCATACAACAGGTAAACCAACTATATGTGCTATTGTGCTTTTTTTTGCTTGTAGTAAATGTTAATCATTGAATGAATTGAGTGTCTTTTCATGTTGTGTTGACATTCATGTCCATCCCCAGGCAGTTCTGAACACGCTGTCCATCGGTGCATCCCTGCTGCTGCCTCCACTGAGGGAGAGAACAGAACTGCTCCTGTCACTCCTTCCTCAGGGCCCTCAGAGCTTAAATGTCCCCTCCAAAGGACAGGTATGTAAAGTGTTCTGGTGCCATTTCAAACATTGCCTATCTGTTGTTAAAGAAGTGCTGGTTATTATTACAAAATGATGTTTTTTTGTGCATTTGTGCCACAACAAATCACCAGTCAGGAGAAGACAGTTATGTAAAAACAGAACATTTACATTTAAACTGCCTTAAGCTGCGTGGCTGTCCCCTTTTTTTTTTTTTTTTTTTTTTAAACAATAACCAATCCAGACAGTTTGTTATGCAATGGATGGATACAAGCAAGCAGCTTGTTTGTCCAAATCACACCAGTAACTTAAGAGTGTTGCTAGGCAATGTGTTGAAGACGGCCTGAATGTTGTGAAAATGTGTTGCTGTAAAAAGCAAAGATCACTTCTCCTCCACAGAGATGTTTTTGGTAGCCTCCCATTTAAATGGAAAAAAACAAACAACTCTTTCTTCTGTATCTTTCAAAAGCGCCTGCAGTTAGACATGGTCCTCAGCAGCCTCCAGGACCAGAGCCACGTGTCTTCATTACTAGGTTACAGCCATTTTGGGGAGGGGACATCTCTGGGGCCCCCTCTGACGCCCGTTATGTCCGCCCGGCTTCCCTCCTCATCCAGCTCCGTGGAGTCCTATAACCCTCTGCACTTAGCAGAGGTGCTGCTCAGGACCCTGCTCCTCAGCATAGGCGTTTACACGGTATGTAAAGAGGACCTTGTGCCTCTGTGTGCAACATGTATCTAATGTTGTTGTCTTGTTGCCATTTTAACAAACGTTCTATATATTCTGGCTATTTTAGTGCACATTGTTGCTGTCGAATTACTTTATTGTACTAAAAACTATTTCTGTGGTTGCCCATACAGGAGCGGGCCTTTGGAGAATTGGAGAAAAACAGTGACAAGCAGCCATCAAGTGATCGCCAGGGACAGACTGATCCTCCTTGTCACTTTCACCAGCTGCTGTCTGGACTACACAAACACTTGCTTGCCCATTGTTACATCCATCCCAACCCTGAGGTGCTCTTATATTCAAACCTAATAGCTCTGCATTCATACAGTTGCATTTATGTTCACTATGATGCTGCTGTTTTGCAGGATGACAGCAGTGTAACGCTGCTTCGTGAGCATCTTTATCGGCTGCTTCCCTGTGCTGCTGAGACTCTCAGGAGATCTACCAAACTGCTGAAGGACAGCTCTCTAGATAAACAAATAATCAAGAAGCTGCATGGTAAGAATTATGGCCGATAACAAGTGAGTGCCACTATAACCTACCGTAACGTATCTGTTTCCATTAATTTATAGTATTTAGTTGAGTTGCCCAAGTTCCCCAACCAAAAACCAACTTCAGTACAATATTTATTATATGTTAGTACATATCTTGAAACGTAGGTCATAACAACAAGTCAATAAAACTGTATCTTTATGTGAACAGTCAATGATTTAATCTCCCGCTGTGCTCACATGGCTGCTGTCCATCAGTATTTCTCAATTATGTTCATAGTTTCATTCTAATCCCCCTCTCTCGTTTCATCCCTGGTTTCAGTGGTGCTGTACAACTCAGTGGCTGGCAACCTGCTGTGCCAAGTAATGTACTCCTTGCTGCTGCTGCCCCTGGGCATGGTTCAACCCCTCCTGAGTCACTTACTGGCCTTGCTGGAGCAACTCAATGATTTCAACCGGTTGCTTCCAGAGACCGGCCTCCTGGAAGAACAAGAACTGAGAATGGAGGCTCAGAAGACCTGTTCAGGTCAGTGGAGTTTAGACTAACGCTCGACCAATTGATTCATGTTTTATTACTTTGGGGTAGAGCCGTGTCACAGCTTTTAGTAATTGATAAAAGGATGGCACATTTTGGTATCTTTCTTACAGATAAAGGCGAAGAAAACACATGCCTTGGAGAGCAGCAACCGGAGGAGGAGAGCAAGTGGGTCTGGCTGTTGGATCTGCAACGGTCCGTAGCGTTGGCAGTCGGCCGTTGCCTTGGTGGTATGCTGCAAGGCCCGCCGCCCTCACTTCAGGAGAAAACGTCAGACTTCTGGCTATCAAATGTCCTCCTCAGGAACGGGCTGGAGACGGACTTTGAACAGCTGGGTAGGAAAACATGGTCCATGCTTTTATATGAGCCAATGTTTTGGCAAGTGGATGTAAACTGCATGCAATGGTCATCCCGAATTTGATGTTGCACTAATGTGGCTGCACTGCCTTTGCCAAGAGGCAAAAGGGAAGGATGAGTCAAGAGCAATGTTTGCCAATGTGTTTTTGTTTTGTTGACTGAAGAGATAGACAGATAGGCAAATATAGGAGAATATAGATTTGGCTGAAAAACAAGCAGCCACCTAGTTTACCTTTTTATATCATGTACATTTTAGAAGATTAGAACACAGGGATAGCATACTGGCATTATTGTAAAAATGAACACAAATAAACATTTGTTAGTGTGTAATTTTCACTTGTTTACTTGTCATCCTTCGCATGTCCTGTAGACTCTAGCATGGCATGGCTCACCGAGGTGGTACTGCTGGGCAGTAGTGATGCCAGGCTGGCGGACCTCAGTCTAAATGAGGACACCAGGACTTTACTGGAGCTGGCGCTGGGATCCTCCAGAGGAACTGCAGGTGGCCTGTGGCGGAATATGGAGGAGTACGCTCACCGCAAAGGTGCTTTGATTTGACCTGTGTGAGTGCATGCCTGTTTTTGAGAGTCGAGATTGTAAGTATCCGGATTCGGAAAAAAAATCTATGCACCTGCATTAATATACTTGCTGTAATCGTTGCTGCGCAATTATATCATATATTAATTTGCAAAATTTGTTGTTGTTTGTTCTTTCATTTGTGTGACTTTGTTGTAAATGAGTGGTGTTGTTTTGCTGTGGCAGCAGAATGGGAGAGTGGAGGCTCCTCGGGTGACTGTTTGCTGCAGACTGTCTGTCGCTGCAGTCTGGCTGCTCTTCTGAAACACACTGGACTGCAGAATCAGGCTTGTTGGCAGGACAGGTTAGTAAAACAAAAAAGAATATTTACTGGAATGCCTATTCCCAAGCAATTTAATCACTCATAATTGTGTAAGATCCATACTGTAATGCTAACTGTTTGCTTTGGGACAGATATGAGCCCTGTGAGATGCTGCTGAACGTTTATGAAACTGTTGATAAAATCCGAAGCACTCTTTTGGCCCATAAAAACTATCCAAGGATTACACAAGTGCAGACCGCTGTCAAACAGGTAACATAACTAAAATGTCTTTATTTCAATGCGTGATATTCTATATGGTGGCGATTTGAACCATTATAGAGTGAAACATTGATTAAAAACATCATGTAGTCTAATATTTGTTCTGCAAACTTGTGATTTGTTTCATTATTTCATTATTCATTGCATTGTACTTTCCATTCCAACGCATAATCTTAATTAAAAAATTAGGGTGAAGACACGGTGTATTGAAAACATTTCTTGTATTGCAGACCACTCAAACTCCCCAAAGTCCTGATGTAGACAGGCAGGAGCCAGGCACCTCCGTGGAGCAGGTGGGAAAGGATCAGCAGCAGCAGTCAGAAGGTCACTGCAGCTGGGAGGTGCAGGTTCCTCCACCCCCAACAGCAAACCACAACCAGGAAGAGGTTGCTGAGGAGGACACATTCGGCAGCAGTCGTATGTACCTGTCAGGTTCGAAATGCAAATCGGTATTTCTTCTCCTCTTCCAGCAGCAAGGTCAAATTATGTCATGCCTAATGGATCACACACACACACACACACACACACACACACACACACACACATCATTAGGATACATCTGATCCTCACATGTCTCTGTCTGCAGAAGTCCTTGAATCATTTATGGCCACCCGGGAGGCCATGCAAGTACAGCAGAACGTGACCGTATACGAATCCTTTGGCACTTCCACCCTCCCCAGCAGCATGGAGAGCCCAGTTAGCCCGGAGAGGGAGTTGGATCCAAAGCAGCAGAGGGAGAAGCAGAGGGAATCTGAGGAAAGCTTGGGTTTCCCTGCTGCATGCCATCTGGTGGTGTCCCGCTGTCTCTACCTCCTGCTGGGAATCAGGCCTGCTTGTGTGGAACCCAGCGTGAGGGAGAATAGTGAGGCTGTGAACACTGGAGCAAGGTTAGTTAGCAATAGGCAGCTATGTCTTCGTGGTACGTTTTGTTCTTGTTTTTGTAGTGCACTTGTGTGTTGTTGTCTTTTTTTGGTGGGCTGTTGCTGCACTGAACTGTTGTTATTGTCCCTCTTTTAGGAAATCAACAACAGAATTCCTAATGAAGGCTGCTGATGGCCAAAAACAGGTGAGTCTCGAAGTCTACGAGAAGTTGGTCCCTCCATTTATCAGCGCTAATGTATTGTCTTTGTCTTACTTAGTCCGACCAATCCAAAAACCCATTGGGATCTTCCAAGAATAAAATGGGTAGGTAGAATATTTTTACTCCAAAAACGTGCTACAACAATGCTTACAAATAAAAAAAAGACTTTCCTACAACTGTGTATTAAAAGAATAGCTTTAAGAATTCCATGAAAATATCAACACTATTCTTATTAGCGGCTAATGGGTTTCTTACTAAAGCCGAATTATTAGCCTATCTTAGCATAAGCACTGAAAACCGGGAGAAACAACCAAAAAACATGAACGTATTTCCTATAAGGTCCAACTATGAATTTTACTAATGTGTCAATGTGATGTGTATAGTTTTTTACTATTTTTATTGTGAAACTTCTACTCTGAGGACAACTTATATAAACATTAGTTTGATGGATCTTTCTTTAATATATTTTGTTCCATAAATCAACACTCCGTGAGAGGAGTTGAACGATGTCAGAAAGGAGTACAGTACAGGGCTTCATTCTTCTGGTCGCTCTGTTCCAGGTTTACCTCTCTGTTCTCTGGGCATCATGAAAGACGCTTGGGATCGCCTGCGGCAGTGTATCAGCCCAACCTCACCCATGTCCCACTGTGGCAGCAACACTTTGCCTATTCTTAACCAGGTGTTCCACTTTGTCTGTGGGAGCCTGATCCACGTGTCATCCTCCTCACCAACACCCCCGGGTGCACAGACATGCACTCAGGCAGATCCAAAGGCTATTTATTTTGCTATTCTACAGCAGCAACATAGAGCTGAGGTATTCCAATTTTTCTTTTTAACAAAATACTTGGAGCTGATCTGGGAATTCTGTAAATGCATTTTAAGGCCTTAACTAACTTTCCTTTGTTGTGCTCAGTTGCGTCTGGAGGCCTTTTGTCAGATGTCATCCTTCCTGTCTAGGATGGAGGAGAGGAGCAGTGGGTTCATAGTCTCCCCTCAGTTTCCTGCATTGTTGCAGTCGGTGCAGCTTCAGTTCCTCTCTGGATGTTTTGCACTGGGAACACAAATCATCGCCTCTGGAGCTAATTATGAGATGCAGCATTACATGGTACATTTAGTAATCTCGCTATCACAGTGTTTGGGACGATGTTTATGAAAGCTGGAAAGAAAGAAGGAAAGGGAATTTCATTCATACCAGATTGATTGAGGAGAATGACAGAATTGTATTTTTCTTTACAATAACCGTTTGTTGTATGACTTACTCTCCTATCCCCCTTTTTTTAATCCAGTCTGGTACTCATTCGGCTTCTATGGATACGCAAAGAGAGCTGCAGTCCGCAGCCCACACGTTCTACCAGCAGGTTGTGCGTGTGCTCAAACAGAGACTCCTGTCGGAGAAAGAACGTCCAGGTATTTCCAAGAATTTCATTACAACCAGGAGTGGTTTCATGATGGTCTGTCGTGGCTTAAAGTTACCAAAATAAATACTTACTGAGGTCACACAGTGACATACACTCTCATACAACAACACAGGTAACGCAAGGTGGAATAGTAGTCCCAGCACTTAAACTAGACAAGAGTGCCTTAAATTATATTCTTTTAGGATTGTTAACAATGGGATGTCAAATTTTGTCTTGTGCTTGGCTGTAGGTCCTTTGCTCTTGTACGTTTTCTCAGTATGATTCTTCCCAGGAACCTTATTTCATTAAATTTGGTCTGTTCTGTTTGTTTAATGTTGTTCCACTGAGTGCTCTCCTTCTGGATGGAAATGGAGTTTTTCTACTTAATTTAATTTAGTTTGCTCTGTTTATTGAGTTAGGATTGTTGTTGGTGAGATTTTCCTCCTAAATGGGAGAGGATTCTTCACCAATGTGGGAGACTTTGTTAGACTTATGTGGGTCCAGTTTGTTAGTGTTGATGTATGTTGTGTATACTGCCGTGCGTAACCCTGCTTATATGATTTTGCATTTAGTTACGTTTTTGCCTCTATCATGGCCAGGTTCTTACCAGCACCTTCTCCTGGCCACAATGTTTGCACTGAATTTCTCCTACAAACCAGTGGACCTGGTGCTGGTCATCAAATGTGGCATCCTGGAAATCCTCTCCATGCTGACCAACAACAGCTGTGCCCTAATGAATCAGAGCTGGTTTGCAGCCTCTAAATCTGGACCCATCCTGCTGAGTGGGGCTGTTAGACTAGCTTGTGCCCGTCTGCTTCAGATATTGACTGTGGCTGCAAGGTGAGAATCAAGAGACTGCCCACTGATGCAACTAAGTTGCCATTACTTTTCATTCATTCAAGTACACTGAGACATTACATGCATAACAAGTTGTCCTGTGTTCTCAGCTCCTGCGAGGATTTGCTGCCAATGGATGTCTCCCATGCCCTAATGGAAGTGCTGCGTGAGCAGCTCCAAAATATCCTGTATACTTTTCAGCAGCAGCAGACCGCCGAGAGATTGACTGCTGAGGGGGCAGATCTGGACTTCTGCAGCAAGAGTGCAAAACCAATCGGTGCATTAAATTCATTTTTCAAATATGGAAATATATGTACATCATTTTACAAATTGCACTGGATAATGAAGTCTGTTCTTTTTCAGGACCAATGGTGCTTTTGTGAAGCCTTATTGAGTATAGTTCTCCTTCTGTTCGTGTCGTTTTAGGAGCGGAAAGCAGCAAAGTGGTTGAATCTCAGCTGGCAGATTTCTTGGTGTTTCTGAGGCGTGTACTGTCACTACGAGTAATGAAAAGGCTTCCTACTTTTGTCCAATGGATTGATCCAATCATGGCCATTGTTTCCCACAAGTGCTCTTCAGGTAAAACAATTCATAAGAATAATGAATATGGATTGTTTACAATACAGAACAGTTTACTTTGGTTTCTTGTCATTACCCGTTCATCTCCACCTTTCTCTTTTCAGGATCTTCATGCTTCCAGAACCTTCGCACTGAGCTCTTAGCGTTTCATGTTTTAGAAAAAGTGTTACCTGCTTGTTCTGAACCAGTTCAAATTCAACAGGTACGATGTTAAAATGTAGATGCAAGTGAAGCAGTGAAGACAACGTTTTTGAGATTGGAAAAATGAATGCAATATCGAAGTAGTTTTCCTTTTCTCGATTCTCTTAGATTGTCGAACAACTCTTTCAGCTCTTGTCTGTTTATATGTGGAAGGAACCACTAGCTGAGAAGAGCCACGAGGAGATGGCTGAAAAAGAAAAGGGGGTAATACAGCATTATTACAAAATAACACTGTGGTCAGCTGTCACATTCTTACAATAATACAATCACCTTAAACCATATCAAGATGCTGTATAAACATTATAATTTCATAGGAGTTTAATCACATTGTAGCCACCTAATCTTTTGTGTGGGGGGAAAAAATCGTTCACCTGGTCTACATGGAAAAATAGGGCAGTTGTCCTTTTTAATGGAGACATATCATTAGATAACCTATTTATAGCTAACACTGTAATGGTTGATGTCTTTTGAGACAAATGAGGGAATGCAGCATTCCAAGAATCAGAAAACTGAATTAATTAAACTATATTTCAATTCCTTTTTTTCCAACTCATGTCTTTGCAGAACCCTGGCAGCTATGATGAATGTATTCCCATTGGAGATTTTTCCTTTGACCCGCACAAGACAATCTGCTGTTCTTTGGAGAGCGGGAACATAATCTCCCACGGCTCAGGAGGAAAAGGGTACGGCCTGGCAACCACTGCCATCACAGCTGGATGTTTCATTTGGAAGGTAACTAACTGATCAATTCATAAGGAAAAGGAAAAGAAAACACGGATACTGTTTGCCCGTCTTTACTTGCTATTGTCCAGATTGTACCACCGAAACGTGGTTAACCAACCGATCAATGCTTCTCTCCTTAGTTCTATATTACCAAAGAGAACCGAGGCAATGAGGCCACATGTATTGGCGTTTCACGCTGGCCAGTCAAAGATCACAACCACCACACCACCACTAATATGTGGCTATATCGGGCCTATAGTGGCAACCTGTACCATGGAGGAGAACTGGTCCGCACCCTTCCCTCTTTTACTCAAGGTGACACCGTCACCTGCATCCTGGACATGGAGGCTCACACCATATCGTTTGCCAAGAATGACAAGGTCCGACCAATTATTCAGTATTCAGGTCTTTTTCTTTCGTTGACTGTTGCGGGATGTTTTTAAAATAATCTCTTCGTTTTGGGGTTTTCCTGCTAGGAACCAAAGTTGGCATTTGAAGGTGTGGTTGCCTCTGAACTTTATCCTTGTGTGCTGTTCTACAGCAGTAATCCTGGAGAGAAGGTACACAATATACTTTGCATGCTCAATACATGTTTTCCCCCCATCAATAAATCCTGTGAATGGAAGTTTCATGTTGCAAAACACGTCCATACAGTGAAATATAGTGGCGAGTGAATGTGAAGACACAATAGGTACATGTTTTGCTTAGTTGGTTTTCTTTGGCTAATTCATGAAAAGTTTTTTTTAGTCCCACACAGTCATTTTATTTGTAGGGCAACGGAATTGTGCCTTTTGTATTTCTCACAGGTGGCGTTGCGTGACCTCAAGATGCGAGGCATGCCCAGTAATTATCTGCCCGGGGAGCCTCTCTGCAGCCCCCGGACCACAGTGCTGCTGGAGTCAACAGTGCAGCTCCTCCGTAGGCTCCACCAGTGTGACCAGTGGACCTCGCACATCAACCAGTACATCCACACCCACCTGGAGCTCATTGGTCCCCTGCTCAAGGAGGATGACTTCAATCTGGGTGAGACACGGCTTCGGCAATGGCCCCTCATAGGCCTGTTTAGCAAACGCATTCGTATTAGTATGTAGTAAAGCACTAAAGTGAAGTTAGTAATTCCTTTCAATCATAATTCAGCTATAGTGGACCACGGAATGACTGCTGTGGGTAGAGAACAGATGGATGAAGATCGTTTGAAAACTTTGATTTGTTCCTGCTATGGCTTCATGGTCGTTACTTATAACTTTGTTTTCCACTCTCCCACAGGCGTCGGCCCCACACACTCTGAGACGGAACTCAATGAAGGAAACTTTGCTGGAGACGACACAGTTGATTTTTTGGGACATCGCCGGTCCCTGTCGGAGGCCAAGCTGGCTGCCCTTTGCACTGAAGTGTGGCCGGTTCTGGCCCTGATCGGAGGAGTGGACAGTGGTCTCCGGGCCGGGGGTCTGTGCATGCACAAGCCCAGTGGACGCAGGGCCCTTCTGCTGGGAGTCCTGAAAGAAGGAAGCTCTCTAGCCAAGCTTCAGTGGGAGGAGGCAGACCTCTCTGTCAGGTATTACAAATACATCCTTATACTGCCCCTAATGTACGACATGACTCATCGTCGCATATGTTTTTTTAAAGGATGATTCTCATTGACTTCCATCAAACAATTCTTATGTTTTTATTGTCTTTGTCCTGTCAGCATATTTATTATTACTCTGTATAATTCTTTTCTGGTAGTTTTCTTCCTACCGTAACATCTTAAACCCCCCTGATCTTACTTTCTTTTTGCTTCTTCCTCTTCATTCTTAAATCCATTAACCCCTGTTGAATCCGCCCTGGTATCACCCCATGCTATATCTGTGGGTTCTTCCCATCATTCCCAATAACTAAGCTCCATGAATTCTTGGTCACCCAGCGACACGCCGATTGTCTCGTTGGAGCCCTGTGGCACATCCTGCTGCGATGTCACCTCACTCGGAGGCCTCAAACCGACGGTGTTGTTAGACCTGATTTATTTGATGGGGCTGCTGGAGGAGCAGGGATGGCAGGGGACCTATCCAGCCTCCAAAAGGAAATACTTAGAGGAGAACACAAGAGAAAGTGAGTTGGTCGAGACAGACCCCTGCACATCATCGTCCTCAACCAAGGAAGCTTCAAAGATTGTGGACCACCAGGAGTTGACCTGTTTACCCCAGCCTCTCCAAAACTCCCAGACCTCCAAAGTGGATGCCTTTGCACATGAGCTGAGGGCAGTGAGAGTCTCATACCTACTCATCGGAGCTTTGAAATCCTTGACCGTCATATTTAGTTGCGATAAGCTATCCAATTTGCTCCTAGTGCCTAAAAATGACCCTTCAAACTCTACAATAAGTCCCCTTTCCAGCCCAAACCTGGATCAGGCCAAGGCCAGCAGTAACCAGTGGGATGAGAGTGCTGAACTGAGATCCGTGCTGCAGTACGTTGTGCAGAGCATGGTGAAGTGGGCAGTCAGGCCCTGTCCCATCAAACAGAGTGTGTCTCTTGTCGACCTGGAAAGGGCTCAGGTCATGATCTACAAAGGAGCCCTTAGCAGACTGCAGGAGGACAAAGAACACAAAGGTAGCTACATTTATGGATTATATTCAAGACACTGGTTATTTTAGTTAGTTGTTCTTGGTTGGCTATATAGATATAGAACAATTAAGAGATAATGACATCAGAGACCACAACTGTTTTACGGTTGCAACTAACAATTATTATTTTATTTTCTTGATTAATTGTTTGGTCTAAAAAACAAAGTCATGAATAATGAAAAATGGCCTTTAACAGCTTCGTTCCACAGTGTTTAGGGTGTAGATATACAAATAATATTATCATCATTGTAACCACTGGGTGTGATCTGACCTTCCTCTTCTCCTTGCAGAATCTGGCCACCACTTCTCCTCTCAGCCCATTTCCAAGTCCTCCAGCTCGGTGTCCTTGTACAGCGCGGGTTCTGAAGGCACCGCCGTCTTTGGCCAATCAAACAGAGCCTCTGTCTCATCCTCGAACAACGACTTGGCGTCCTCTCTGCCGGCAAACCTGCAGGCAGATGGCCTTGATAATTTCAACCCCTTCTTTCCCATCAGTCTCCTCCAGTGAGTATAGAATGAATCATTCAGGAATGATTTTCATTCGATTTGACTGTTGGTTGAATGATTGATACTAAACATGCCAAATGGACACATACGCAGCAACCAGTTATCTTCAATTCTTGTGTTGTTACTGGTTGCTACAGACCTGTATCTTTTGGCAGCAGGAACTTTCCTGACCTCCAGGGAATGGGTGAGTTATAGGGTGGTTATGAAAAGAGAGAGTTAGGATTCTGCCTGCACTCTTCTTCAACCTCAGTTGCAGCTCTGCCTGCTTGTTCTTCTATTAACCCAGCCAGCTGACCACAGTGTCAGTGTTATCCCTGCCTCCAAGGGGCAAAGATAAAATGAAATCAAAGCCGCCCCGTGAGGAGGGTTTTGAGATGAGAAGTCTCTCATATTCAAATGACATACTCTCTGTGTGCAACCTTCTTTGAATGTGAGTTGCAGCAAATGCAGGACTGGAGCATTTAAATAGTTGACCTATTGGCATGAATGCTTGGTTCGTTGTGATTGGTGGGCAGCTCCCCACAGTCCTTCAGAAACATTACACTTCAAATTGTAACTTAAAAGCACTGCATACTGGCAGTATGGCACAACGTGCACCGTGTTATTACTGTACATACTGTATCTTGACTCCCTCCAGGCACATGGTCTTAACTCGGTTCCCCACGCTCACCGGCCTGGTCAACGCTCCCCCCGTGCTGCACCCCTGCTTCAGCCTGGCCAGCTCTGCTTCTTGTGATGCCTTCACAGAGCAGCAGACTAGCTTCATGGAACCCGGTCCATGCAGCACACAGGCCAGAAGCAGCCTGGGTAAGAACAAGCGCAGAAAAAAAGCTGTCGGACCACAATACAAAATCATCATTTCATTTACAATGAACGCTGTGTTCAGAGAATAGCTCAGCTAATCGTTACAGTCCGGCAGGTTAGTTGGTTCAAAAGAGAAGAAAAAATGTTTTCCCCCATGCTGGCTTCATAAAATATATGGTATTGTGATTACGCGGTGGAGTTTGTCTGTGTCTTGCATGCATGGTTTTATATGTTCTGTTGTATGTCTCTAAGCAGCACATGTTTGCTTTGCTATTGGACAGATATAATATTTATACTATCAAATGGATGTGTGACACAGTTTATGCCCGCGCTGCTTGAATGGCTCCATTTTTTTCATCTTCAGTTATGTTGGCTTATTTTCGGTGTGCGTTGTAGTGTGTACAGCACAACATGGGCGGGTGGGGGGTACAACATGAACTGAAGGCAATTCCCCCACAGTTTTATGCACAATATGAACATTTCAAAATGTAGCTGTGGGCTTGTTTTTGGTTTCTTGTTTTTTTGTGTACTTTTTACTTTTCTCCTCAATCACCAGAACGGACACAAATGTTTGTCACCAGTCGGTTGATAGAAATGGGATTCTCTATGAGACATATCTACTGGGCCATGGAAGCAGCAGGTACTGCTTTGTGGAGCGTGTGATATCACTACATGTTTGTGCCTTTGTGTGCTTTCTATTTTAAACATCTGCCCTTCATTGTGCGCCGCAACATTTTGTACGAGTAAAGATTAACATGATACCATGACTCATGTAGGGAAAGATCCTACACACCTTTCTGGGGAAAAGAAACTAATTCATCCAGTTTTCATTAAAACAGAATGAATTGGCTTCTAAGACTATGATTTAACCACATGGTAAAGGTGAACATATTCTATTGGCAGATGAAATATACATTGTATACATGTATTCTGCACAATCTGTATAAACCACAAGCCCTCCACATTATTAAAAGGTGGTTGCCATTTCACAAATTTCACACACCAACCCCTCGTCGCACACGTTATCATCGAAGCAGATGTGCCTGTCTGACCTCAGACCGCACACAGAAGCGTGATCATCTGGTGGTGATGTCCAACACAAATTTGAAAAGCAGTATTCCACGATCCATCTTTTCTTTTCGAACTCTGACAATTCACCATCCCTGTGGTCCCTCCCAGATGTAGCAGGTGACTTGGACTCTCAAACCATCGAGGTGTTGGCCAGCTGGATGCTGGAGCACCCCCTGACCGAGGAGCATCATGCAGCTGAGTCGGCGCGACAGGAAGGTGCTCCTGACACCCCGTCGCCAGATGGACCAGAGACTGTACAATGTCCCGAGCGCCCCACCACTCAAATCAATGAAAGGTCAGTGGTTTGATATCTGCGATACTGGCATTATCACTGTTACAATACAACTAGCAGAATGATGGGCAGCATGTCATTGTGTTGTGTAGTCTGTTGCCTGGACTCGACTGGATAGAGCGGGAGAATTTCTTGGATGTCCACCTCACGAGGAACAGGCCTCCTCCAGCACGGCGGCGGCGCTCAGGCCCGAGTCACAGGATTTCTTTCCGACGGGCAGGTCAGAGTCACAGCCTCGACCCTTCAACCCTAATTTGTGCACATGTGTTCGATAGCAGATATTGTAAAACAGAAAGACCAACTTCACAAATGTTTACACGTTTGTTACCTGATTGAGATGTGAGGGTTTCGGGACAGAGGATGTCGCAGGTGTACAGACTGTAAAGCCCTCTGAGGCTAATTTGCGAAATGAATGAACTCTTGTGATCAACCTGTGCTGTGACTCTCATTAAACAGTTTACCAGACATTTAACTCTTCATTTTCATTTGAAGCAAACACCATCTTCTCCGACTTGCCGTCCCCCATCCCCCTCCCGGAGCTGTACCAACACCACACATCAGACAGTGATTGGCCGGAGCAGTTTCATCCCTACGCTGCTGAGGAGTCTGAGTTGGGCTACATGGACGACCCATACCATGAAGAAACTTACGAGGATCTGCTCACCCCTTCATTCTTTAGCTTGGAGAGAGACACACTGCAGATAGTGGAGGTGACACAAACACAGGCACTTACAAACTATTTATTTTTTATTATTATTCAATTCAAAATACTAAAAATTGTTGCTTGCGGGCCTCTTTGTTTCATGCTTTGTTTGCAACTCTAGGCTGGCGAAGAACACAGTCAGATGGTGAAGTGTGAGCTGTGCAGCACCCTGACGCTGCAATTCAACAATCACGTAAAGCGGCGGCACCCAGGTTGCGGTCAGAGTGCTGCACGTAAGGGTTACGACAGCACCGGGGCCTACGTGGATGTCTGGTTCAAAGGGGAGTGTGGCTCCAACTTCCCCTTCTACCTCCTCTGCAGCTCCTGCAGGGAAAAGTATCTGGCTGCCAACCAGAGTGGTGCCAGTTCTAAATATGAAAGGTACAGTGGATAATAAAATAAAGATGTATGCATGCAACCAATCGTGATGCCTCTAGACTGGTTGCTGTTGTCATGCTTCTATAGACTCAGTTGGTGTAAGGAGATCAGTTATAGAGCATGTTATTTGTCCTCCTCTTACTTTAGGATTAAAGGTCTAACGTCTGATTTGATTGGCCAGTTGGACGGCACGTCTGACGGTAGGGAAGGTCACAAAATCGTTGTACAATAGAATAAAAATGTTTTTGTAACACATTTTCTGAAATGAATGATGCCTCTTGGCTCAGATGATTGGGAAATTAGCCACCGAGACGAGTGTGACGCAGACAAGCTGACAGGACTGGAGGACTTTGGGCTTTTGCTGAGACCACTGGGGCTGACTGAGAAGAAGCTGGTGCCAGACCCCATTGCCTTCAGTGAGCCAGATCCCCTCGGAGCTCTGGTTTACAGCTCTGCTGACCCAACAAGAGCGGCAGCTTCCAAAGGTATTACGTTTTGCTTTACAAAGATAATTGTCTCATCCTTTGGTTAATGCTAGTTCTAGTCACTTTTTGTTCAAAAGTATCTAAAAATACTCCGAAAAATTGTTAAGATAGAAATAATGTGCTGACATATAATCTAAAAGTGAAGAAAATGAAAAAGAAGAAAAAAACATTCATTGCAAGCTTGCTCATTAGTGAACTGACAAATCCTGTTTCAAGGACAAAAGACTGGCGTTGCATCATCATGCACCAATTGCCAAGACCACGCCCCCTTTTTAGGGGGAAGGCGCGCACTCGCATAAGGAGGGAAACAGGAAAAATCCGTTATGTAGTTAGTTATAAAACACATAAAAGGATGTTGTGAATCCCTAAATGATGCTGGTGACAGTTACTGCTATCTTCAGAAGTCTTAAAGTGTAGCAGCATCACCGTCTCAAACTTAATCTCACTTTGTCTAGATTATAGTGCTGTTATCAGGTTGTATACAGTATGTATATGTCTGAATAAACTGTTTATGATAAAGAACTGCATTACAAATTTACCAGAATTATAGTCCAAAGAAATTGCACTAGGGGACACTTGTTTTTCTATCGCCAGAAAAAAGTGCGTGTCCTTCACATTTGACAAATTACCACGTGTGGCATTTTGCTTAGACCATTAGGACCATTAGGTCTATACCACCCCCTCAAAACGAGATAGCAAGTTAAATGCATGTTTGTGGTAAAAATTGTCAAATTGAGGAGGAAAACGGATGAGTAATGTGAAACAGTTTCCTTCAACCTAAAGATCTTATGTGAACAAAATTCCCACCTTTGCATGCATGTATGACCATGTGTGTATGACCTAGATGTCCTCTTGTTAATCCTGCAGGTTTCTGCAACTGTGTCTCTGATAAATGATTTAGCCACCTTATTGTAACACAGCCACATTCCCTCTGTGCTTGTTGGCAGCGGCAACCACAGTAAAGCTCACTGCAGCATAGTGAGTCATCACTCATTCATCATATCCAGGCATCTGAAGCACTCGTACTCCCAGCTGTCCCATTTGTGCTATTATTTTGACTTTTCCTCGTGCCCACATTATATGGTGTTTAGAAAATGTGAGTTTAGCAAGGTGTTTAATTTATCACATTAACATGCCTTTTCTGATTTGTGTTTTCCTTCACCAGGGAATGCTGTTGTTGAGCAGAAGACCTCTCTGAGCCTCGGACATCAGGCAGTATCACTGAGGGACTCTCATGATCGACTAAAGGCATTAAGAAGAGTCACCTCCACAGCCCAGATCCTGCTTGCTTACAGCATGGTGATGAGAGCACTGTCTCAGACTGCTTTCAGGTACATATGACCAGTGTACCAGTGTATATATAGCCTTTACAATCATCACCCCCCCATCAATGTGGTTTCAAGAGTCTTCTTTCTTCTTCCTCTGCAGTGCGTCAGCATACAGCCACTCTTCCGGGCTGGAGTCCTTGGGTTTGGCTGATATCCGTATCCTGGTTCGTTTGATGACTCTAGCAGCAGGGGGCAGGGCTCACACCTGTGTGGACAGACAGTCTGGTGTAAAGGGGCTGTCGACAGAGCGCAACAACTCCACCTGCCTAAGCTTTCTAACTTCAGCCATCGGCAGCGTGGTGTCCCGAAGCCCCGCTGCTTACAGGCAGCTAGTGGAGATATGCACTCAGGTCCGTTTTATTCAATTAATCCACTGACATAAACACTGTATTGTGCTAATTATAAGGGACAAAAATACTGTACATCCACATAACTAATGCATAATATCACTTCTATACCAAAAGGTTTGCCTTTGATGACAGTACGTTATTATTTGCTGTCAATACATCAGTGGACCAGACTTCCCTCCTTCACTTTTATGGCGCTGGCTTACCTTTTTATAATGGTATTACTTTATAACAGTGTTTAGGTTGATTTGATCGATTTCTGGACAAATTTTAACCTACTCAAGATTCAACGTTTTTAGTCATTAATGCGTTTACTGCTCATCCATCCTAAATCTAAATGATGAAACTAAGATATATTTGTACATGTAAGGTATACTAGCTTTAAATAAATGTGAATAGTCAAGAAATGTAACTGTTAGCAAATGAATGGAGATCGTAAGATATCTTTATCTTTAATATTGCCTGTACTGTAGGAACTGTTGGCGGCAGCCACAGGGGTGAACATCGGGACCATCAGTGACCCAAAGCAGAGAAGTCGTCTCAACTCCAGTCAGACCGCTGGGCACCAGGGAGCCCAGCAACGGAAGGACTACATCGAGCAGACGCCTCCTACATTCCGGGTCACACAAAACCTGGTGTCCCTGCTCACCGAAAAGGGTGTCAACTGCCACGGCCCAGATAAGGCCGAACACGAGGCCAATGGTGAGGGAGCAGTTGTGGCGTTATTGACCACAGTGTTGGAGAACTTGTGATCGTTTTACTCATCGCAGCTCTCCTCTGCATGTGTGACTTAGACACAGGAAACCAAGGGGTGTCTTCCTCGTCCTTGCCGTCCTCCCCTTTACCCCACCCGAGTGCCAGAGTGGGCCCCCTGGAGCTGGCCAACGCATTGGCGGCATGTGTGCTGTCCGCCAGGCTGACCAGTAAACACCGCCAGTGGGCAGCAAAGCAGCTGTTGCAGGCGTTGGCTGGCACAGGAAGGGACGGTCCTAATCGGCCCCAAACATACAGTGACCTGGCTGGTGACCTGCGCAAAAGCCCTCTCAAGAGGCTGGAAGGACATTACAACAAGGTGAGAGAGTCCCAATGTGATCAAAAACATAACTTCTTTTTAAATCGGGATGTGGATTCTTTTGTCAGTAACAGTCGGAACAGGCCGGGTATTTCACAATCGATTATGAGAGGTGAAGCTGAAAGAGCCTTCCTTTATTTTCCGCTCTTTTCAGGTGACTAGCTGTTCCTGGAACAGTGACCAGAATTTGCTGGCTACATGCTCTCAGGACAAGGTGGTGCAACTGTGGAACATCAGCCAGAACAATGTGGAATTACACACCACCTTCTCCTGCATTACCAGGTTTCTCCTGCTTGTTTCAGTTGTGTTTAGTCCAGTGAGGGTTTTACAGTGGTCATTTTAAAAGACTTTCCAGTCATATTTATAATATTGAATTGATGGTCACTTTAAATAAAATGGATGGACACTCATGTGTTGGGTGCTTGAACGTGATATTGTTTTGTGTTGTTTATTGGAGAGGAAACGACAACATTCTGAGCAGAGCGGTTGTTATTTCTCGTAGTTCTCAACGTTTCCCTCCTCTGACTCTCCCACTTTCCAGTAAGATGGACAGATCAAGCAGCGAGAGGGCCACTAGATGTCATCCCATGTCTCCCGTGTACTGGAGTACAGGGGGAAACTTTTTGGCCGCTCCAGATAACAAACACATCACCATCATGAACATCAGGGGTAAGTCTGACCATTGACTCTTCACTAGTGAGTTCTGATATTCCCAATAATTAGCACAGTGCTTCCTACAATTATTTAAATTTTGTCTTGCTTCAGGATCCCACTGTCATGTGGAGGCTCAGGTGTCTCGGGTCACGGCCCTCTGCTGGGCTCACACCTTCAGCTTGTCGGTTCTGGACCAGGCAACGTCCTGCCAGAACAGACCGGCCGAGAGTCTGCTGGTGGCCCGCCTGGACGGCTCTCTCTGCTGGCTGCAGGTTACAATGCAGCAGATAGACCTGCATGTGACGAGCACCGAACTCACCCGCTGCCACAGGACAGAGGGTGAGGAGGCCGCTTGCTGCTTTCACTCTTTCAATTTTCAAATATGCCAAGCGAACTGCCTGCCTGTCGTAGCTTAGTGGGTGGTATTGATCTACGGCTCCCATCAAGAACAAGGTTGCCTCTTAAAATGTGGAACTGTTCATTAAAGACATTGATCTTCTCTTTCGCAGCCCCCCAGTGTGTAGCCTGGCACAGCGAGGACAAGCCCTTTGCAGTGGGCTACCCCAATGGAATGATCCTTTTTGCCACAACTGAAGCCTATGAGAATGAGCAACCCGTAGTGCTGTCAGTCTTTCAGGTTTGTCTGCGGAAATGCCCTCCACAGCACACTTAACACCCCACAAATAATAGTATTTACTCCTCAGCCAAATTAGTCAATTAGTTGTGTAACATAAAATGGCCATCGCTTTACACTCTACAGGACAGTGTGGTTTCTCTGAAATGGGACCCCACAGGACACTTGCTGCTCTGCTTGGGAAGGTCAGAGGTAGTAAAGATCCTGGGACGCTCTGAGGGAAACTGGGTGACCCTCCACTCGCTCTTTCACTCCAGCATCGTTAACATCGCCGAATGGTGCCCGCTCGCTGGCAGAGTGCCGGATCCCAGGCTCATGGTGGCTGCGTGAGTTTACATAACTCTCTTCTCTCTGTTGAATGTAGTGCTTCCTAATATTACCCTTTTCTTAACACACAACAATGGAAAGAAGGAGATGGAAATCTAGTTGTAGGGGAATTGATCCGAATAACCTTGAAATGAATGTTTGTATTTTTGTTGTAAATTCTCATTTAATTTGCTCCTGTTTCCATAGAGGTTGTCAGAACGGCTCTGTGCATGTCTGGACGCTGCCACAGGGGGGTACTTTTGTATCTTTGCCCAACATATTGAACAGCTCCCAGCGCCAAGATAAAAGCACTGATGTCAAGGTCAGTTTGGATTACAGCTTAGAGCCCTGTTTTGCAACCCTGGTTCTGCAAAGATCCTTAAATTGTAGTAAGATACAAGCTTATCCGGATTATATGTGCCAGTCTTTCATTTAGTTAGATTTTTACTGGATGTTTTGCAACGGTCACCTCTGACCCAAGCTTGTGTAAGTCATCCAGTTCTGTTTCTTTTTACTGCAGGAGAAGGCAAAGTGTGTCTTTGTGCTTCATGGCCACATCACAGCAGTGAAGTGGCTTTCATTTTGCTCCAGTGGACTGGCTCTGGTCTCTGGAGGGATAGGGGGCCTCCTCAACATCTGGTCCTTACAGGTGAGAAAACTACACTCACGGTTTGCCTCATTTGAAGTCAATGCAAAGACATTCCCAGACACCCAAACTATGGTTGTGTATTATTTAAACCCGTTGAATTTTAACAGTAGTGGATCTCTGTGCATCTTGCAGGATGGTTCGGTCTTACAGACTGCTACTGGTTTGGGTTCGGTCGTCAGTACTACCTGGATACCAAACTTGGGTGTAGCTGCCTGCTTTGGGAGGTCAAAGGTAAGTTAAATTACTCATAACTTTCATTTTCAAAGCTTGTTTTAGTTTTTTAGTCCAAATCTAAATCTCCTGGCTTTAACTTCATATCTAATATACCAACATTTAAAAGAAATAATTTATCTTCTCAACACTGCTTTTTTTCACACTATTATATGCTTATGTTTATTGCTATAGGAGGAGATGTAAACACATTTTTGAAAATGCAACATTTCCTCTGGCCTTTGTCACTTTACAGCTCTCTTCTGTCATTTTGTTTTTTTGCCAGGATGTTTTGTTGATCTGCTGCACCCCAGACTGGATCAGTCAAAATCACGTGCTAGCTTCCTGTCGTATGGTCCTCAGAAGCCAGAACATCCTGGGTCTAAATCAAGCCCCTTGTTTGGCCGTCTTTCTGGAGAGGCTGCCCTTGTTATTGCAGGAGCAGTACAGCTATGAGCGGGTCACTACTGCAACTACGCTTTCAAGATGCTTTGGTTTTGTTTTTTTGTTTTGTGAACCCTCGGCTCAGGCGTGATTTCTCTGTTCCGTGTCTTAATGCAGACCCACGTGGCGGCCGGTGACCAGCTAGTGCACAGTGCCTTCCTGCAGAGCCTGGCCTCCCTGAGTGTTGGATTGTCCTTAGAGAAACACCTGTGCCGTTACCCACGCCCTCCACACCACACAAGCCCCGATGCCCACTCCTGCCCTCCAGAGTGGAGCTGGCTCGCCACTTACGCCACGACGGTCCGCAGCGCTGAGGCTATTGCCAGCGGTACTGCCTTCCCAGAATCCTTCAATCTCTCAGAGTTTCAGGAGGTGGATGTCCCCGAAATCAGCAAGGCACTAGTGAGTGAGCGCCGTCTTTGAGCTGGTGTTTGTTCAGGAAATTGCTGGATGCGTTGCAGGATTCTGGATGGACTGCAATATACACATAGTTTACATTATTAAGGGATTTCTCTGTTTACTAGGACAATAGTAAGTGGAGCTTCAGAATGGATGAACAGCTGATGTCATGGGCCACCACCAGACCAGAGGTAATAGTTCAGCCATCTTGAAACTCACAATTAAAGTCTTTAAATTACATTTGACTTTGTTTGTCATCCATCTGCACAAAATGATTTCTGCTAGAGAGTATTTTAATATACGTTAATGTCTATTTGACCTGCTGTGTTTTTCAGGACTGGCAACTTGGGGGGAAGAGTGAGGTCTACTTGTGGGGGAACGGACGTTACGGGCAGTTGGCAGGAATGGGAACCAACCTCATGATGCCTACTCTTGCGCCCTCTCTGTTACAGACACAACAGGTAGCTGCTGTTTTACACAGGACACAGAATTTGTTCGTAAGTTGTCTACTATTTTCTAAGTATTTTTCTGCTCCCTCTGTGGCTGTTGTCATTCAGGTGGTGTGTGGACAGAACTGTTCCTTCCTGGTCCAGTCCAACGGGACAGTATTGGCTGTCGGGGAAGGACAGTACGGCCGACTAGGTCAGGGAAATTCCGATGATCTCTACGTCCCCACTATCATCTCTGCTTTTCAAGGTACAGTAATTCTTCGGGTGATGGATTCAAATGTATGCCCGCAACAGAAAAGAACCAAAAACATAAAGGAGCAGTATTGCAACAAATTGGAGTATTTTAGTATTTTATTTGTAGTAGCTTTGTTGTTTTAATTTGAGAAACTTTCGCCTTGCTGTCTCTCTGGTCTGTGGGCAGGTTATGTGGTGACTCAGCTGGTGACGTCCTGTGGATCTGATGGACACTCGATGGCCCTGACTGAGACTGGGGAGGTGTTCAGTTGGGGGGATGGAGATTTTGGAAAACTGGGCCATGGCAACAGTGAAAGGCAGAGGAGACCTAAACAAATAGAGGCCTTACAAGGAGAAGAGGTCATTCAGGTAGAGATAAACCTGCTTTGAAAAATGTTTTCAAGGAACTCAAGTTGAAGTGTTAAACACAGACAAACTCTGTCTTCTGAGATGTCCATGGCTTTTCATCCTCTTTGCAGCTTTCCTGTGGTTTCCGGCACTCAGCAGTGGTGACAGCAGATGGAAAACTGTTCACCTTCGGCAGCGGTGAATCCGGTCGTCTGGGTCAAAGGTCAACATCCAACAAGTTGCTCCCTGAAAGGGTGGCTGCCCTCGAGGGATATCATGTGGGACAGGTGAGAAATGGACTGTGTTTGTTTTAACTCGGATGGTGACGCGGTTTCCACAGTGAACTAGGAACCTTTTAACACAACGACTGAATTACCTCTCTCAGGTGTCATGTGGTCTCAACCACACACTGGTGCTCTCCCTCGACGGAATGGTTGTGTGGGCATTCGGAGACGGGGATTACGGCAAACTGGGAACTGGTTCCTCTACGGCAAAATACTACCCTCAGGTAAGTTAGCGTTGGCGTGGTTCGCACTCAGGAATGCTCCAAGGACAAAACACAAGGGGTTTACGTTATTACCTGGTGGTGGGGAATACAAAGGTCATGCTTGTGATTCCCTTTATTGTAGTCATTGCTTTTGGTATTTATTCACTTGGTTTAGATGAAATATCTTTTTTCTTTTTTGGGCTGTTCATAATTTCAGAAAGTGGAACAGCTTTGCAACAGGGGAATTAAGAAGGTCAGTTGCGGGACTCAGTTCTCTGTGGCGTTGGCCTGTTACGGACATGTTTACACATTTGGACAAGGTACGTCTTACTAAGTGTTGCTGTGCTGTGTCTCCATTTAGCTTCTGAGACAACTATGCTGCATTATTTTAAGTGTAAATAACTTTACCTTTACAGAAAAAAGACAAACATGAAGATTTCATGTTTATTTGTTTTCACGTCTAAAATAGTTTGGCACTAATGGTATCGCTGCCTGCCACAGTGTATTCTATGTATGATGCTACAACTTAGTCACTTAAGCCTGAAGCTTTTGACACATTCGGTATTTAAGCTATTTATTGTTCTGATTGGCAAAAGAGAGTTAATGTGTGACGGAGAGGGAATGTTCTCCTGAAAATCCTTGAAAATCAATTCTCCAACTTACTCGGGACAATGAAAGCGGCATGCAAAAATTAAAATACAATTTTCTTGGCTGATTTCTTGTGCACACTTGCAAAAGCCAACGTGTCACTTGGCTTCCTTCTGGCACTCAGAGCGTCTGATCGGTCTGCCGGACTCGATGATGAGGAATAAATCCCGCCCCCAGCTGGTGCCGTCCCTGGAGGGGTTGTTCATAGAAGACATCGCCGTGGGCTGTGAACATGTGCTCGCCCTTTCCTCCACTGGAGACGTCTATACCTGGGGCTGCAACAGTGAGGGGCAGGTAAACAACGTCCTCTAGAATACAGTCGTTCACTTCAACCGTCTGAAATGTGCTTTTATTGCATATCAGAGGCACAACTGTTTAATTCTATGTGGTTGTTGCAGCTTGGCCTTGGACACTCAAACCCGGTGAAAGAACCCACGCTCGTAACAACCCTCCAGGGGAAAAACATAAGACAGATCTCTGCTGGCCGCTGCCACAGTTCAGCATGGACCACCCCCTCTACCTCAATAAAAAACTCAGGTACACACTCAGTCCTGCAGCACCAGCAAAGGCTCTTTGGAGCTTTGATCTATAAAAAGCTATAAACCGAGGGCTCCATTTGCATCTCTAGGTGGCTCTGGAAGTTTCCAGCTCGGCCTTCCCCAGTTGGTTCCTCCGCAGTACAACACTCTGAAAGACTGCAGCCCCGATGTCCTCAGCATGCGCCTCAGGGTTCTCTACCACTTTTCTGATCTCATGTACAAGTCCTGGAGGCTGCTCAACCTGGACGCCAAGAATCCGGTAATTTGGTCTCATTTTCTGCCTTTTAACGTTCATCATTTGCTTTGCGGCTTGTCAACAATCTCTGTTGCTCGCTCTCATTTTTTTCATTCTCATGCCTCATTAAATTCCTCCTATTTCATTCCGTACATCCAGGTGTTCACATCACGCTATAGTTCAGGGACGACAGCCATCATCCGGGGGGATCTCAGAGGTCTTCTGTCACCCAAGGTCAACACTCTGCCTCTAGTGCGCTCCATCGGGAGGACGATGACCCAGGGCAAAACCTATGGGCCACAGATCACTGTGAAACGGATTTCCACAAGGTAAGGGTGACCTAATATTCATTCTTCAATAACGAAAGTCCATTCTCTATACAGCAATTTTCTATTCATTTTATATCTATTTGTTCATCGAAGATTTGCTCAATGTCCCCTCCTCTGCATTCCACAGAGGGCGTTCGAGCAAACCCATATTTGTGCAAATCGCCAAGCAGGTGGTGGGCCTGAATCCTCTGGAGCTGCGGCTTCCGTCGCGAGCCTGGAAGGTCAAGCTCGTTGGAGAGGGAGCTGACGATGCCGGAGGGGTGTTTGATGACACGATCACTGAGATGTGCCAGGTACTATTGAAACCACATTGAGAAGTGCTAAAAGCAACACAGATAGCTCAAAATGCAGCCTGGAATATTCTCTGCTGCTCGTAAATTTACGAAATAAAATGTCTTTTGATCAGGAGCTGCAGTCTGGTGTCGTGGATCTTCTCATTCATTCTCCCAACAGCTTTGCAGATGTGGGCTGTAACACTGACAGGTGCACACTTTTACTCCTCTTCTGACAGTCATTAATGGAATCCGTATCGCTTTAAAAGCATAACAGAACATCCAATCTCATAAAACAAAATCTTTACCTCTGGCTTTGTCTTTGTACCCTGAAAGGTTCCTGTTTAACCCAGCGGCTCTCTTGGAGGATCATATGGTCCAGTTTCGCTTCCTGGGGATCCTCATGGCTGTGGCCATCCGCACCAAGAAACCTCTGGACTTACATCTGGCTCCTTGGGTGTGGAAACAGCTCTGCTCGATGCCACTCGGAGAGCCTGACCTGGAGGAGGTGGACCTGCTCACTTACCGCACCCTCCAAGGCATCCTTCACCTGGACAACAGCGGAATCACAGAGGATAATTTCCATGTGGTGAGATACTATGCACAGTGACGAGTTACCCTACTATCTTTTCATTCTTTGATTCCTAATCCCTTGCTTCTTCTTCTATACGGCTACAATTCCCTCCCTATGAAGATGATCCCGCTGGACTCGTTCATGGCCCACAGTGCAAATGGAAGGCTGGTACCTGTAGTTCCTGGAGGTCAAAACATCTCCCTGACCTTCGGCAATCGGACTGAATACGTTGAGAGAGCTCTGGACTACCGGCTCCATGAAATGGATTCACAGGTTTGAAATGAATTTGAATGAGGTGGATTTAGCAGATAGAAGCAGGTTAAAATGTGTCATATTATTCCTTTAAAAAAATACCAGAGTGGCCTGTTTAAAAGAAGAAGAAATTATTATTATTATTATTCAAATGACTGCTATCTAAATTCCCCAAACAGTGTATTTCCCCCACTGTATCATCCATTTTAAACACCAGCCTTCCCACCAGTTTCCATTAGTGCTCGCTAGACAGACTGTTTGTTGTGCTGTTGTTGGTGTTCCCTTTATCTCGTCCTCAGAAGTATCAAAGCTGACGATGTTCTGTCGTGTCCAGGTGGCAGCAGTCAGAGAGGGCATGTCCACCATCGTCCCCGTCCCCCTCCTCTCCCTGCTGACGGCACAGCAGCTGGAGCAGCTGGTCTGTGGCCTGCCGGAGGTCTCCGTCGAGATGCTGAAGAAGCTGGTGCGTTACCGTGACATCGCCGAGAGCCACGAGCTCATTGGCTGGTTTTGGCAGAGCTTGGAGGAGTTCACCAATGAGGAGAGAGTGCTTTTCCTCCGTTTCGTCTCTGGCCGGTCCAGGTTGCCTTCCAACCCAGCTGACATCACACAGAAGTTCCAAATCATCAAGGTTGACAGGGTGAGGGCCTCGCTAACGAGAAATGAGTGTAAGCCTGTTCACAAGGGCAAACCTATTAATGGTGCAAACCGTAACCCTCCCTCCGCCTTATCATTTCCTTCAGCCCATCAACGGCCTCCCTACTGCACAGACCTGCTTCTTCCTGTTTCGCCTGCCTCCGTACACGAGCCAGGCCATCCTCGCTGAGCGTCTGCGTTACTCCATCCACAACTGCCCCTCCATCGACATGGACAACTACATGCTGACCCACAACACCGACCCGGCAGACAGCTCCGACACAGAGGACTGAGGGAGGCCGGCGGGGGGTCAACCTGGTGATGAATGTATCTCCTCCCATGCCATGCACATTATGCACTGAACACAGATTTTTATTTGCCAAACCTGTAAGGTAGTGTACTGTACTGTTTATATGTGGATTGAATTTAAAAGACATGTGTAGTTTTGGGTTTTTCCAAATGTGCAAGGTGTTGTAATTAATGCAGTGCTTACTCTGAATCAGCAGTACAGGGATACGGAATAGGATTTTTAAAATAGATAGGTGAATAAGCCACAAAAAAGGAGTTAATGTGCCTGTTTGTTTTGAAAATATGTAATAATTGAATGACCTGTCGCACACAGACAGTATTGTTGTAAAATAAAAGTGTTTAAATAAGTATGTTGGTGTAGCTTTCTGAATTGAGTGGATATTCTGTTAAGCGAGTGCAAAAGCATGCTTGTGCAGTGGATGGGCTTTCACATGCATGGCAACTGCATGGTGTGCATACAGAAGACCAACTGAAAATAGAAAACGGTCATTATACAGAAGTTCAAAAGCTACACCTGCTGGCAGGAATAAGTGCGATTTTAGTATTCAGATTACTCTACAATTCTGCACAATTACATGACGTAACATTGCTGTGGTGAAATACGTTCTAGGTAGGGTAATCAAACCAATTTCAGATACCAACCCAGGTTGGCATAATGCAAACAATTAAGCTATCAAAAACACTTTGCAGTTATTTTGCAGCTACTTTATATGTGTTCCAACATGAAAGAAATCACGGAAAATGTGCTTGTCCCAAGCTGTCTATTCAAGGACGCTGATTGGCTAAATTGTATGTTGTGCATTTTTATATGTATTCAAAAATTGGCTAAAGGGCTTCTTAGACCCGCCTCCTGCGGGCAATATTGAGAAGGCCCCTAGCGCAGGCCGTACGTACTGCGGGCAGGGACGAGCAGGAAAAGCATGTATTTTGCTCAAGTGTAAGTAACTTTGGCAGAATATAGTTTGTTTATGTAAGACCGATGTATTTATTTATTTAGGGAAAAAGCAAGCAAAGCAACAAAAAATATTCTTAGTTTGATTCTCCTTGGTCCAATGTTGTCCTGAGTCAGCGCGGTTGGTGCGTCTGCAATTTGTCTGTGCTATGAGAGATGTCTGCTGTGACCTTACTACCCATCTGTTTGCCTGTGAGCAGCGTGGCCCGTAAGGCAGAATTCCTCCTGCAGTCAGCAGCCCTCCAGCTGAGAGGGGGGGGGCGTATAGGAATATAACATTCAACATCTCAACAGGTACAGGTACAGGTACATCCTATAGAGGCCATGTCGAGAATTTATTTCAAATATTTTGTACGACTGTAGGAAACTTCAAAAGGTAGGCATAGGTGGTATGTACCTGTGTCAGAATGTACCGGTCTTGGAGAGGACAGAGTTCAAATGGATATCCAGTAAAACATATACAACCTCAAACAAAAATCCTGTTCAGAATACTATTCTTGAAAAAAAGCTCGAACGGGCTTTGAACAGGATTCAAAAGACCCCGAAAGGGATCTTTGGACTCCGCTTTCACGTTTTGTTCTGCAGCAGCAAGTGTAGGTAAATGGAGAGGACAGAGCCTGGTATGATTTTGATTGCTGGGGACAAACTGTAGCTCCCTTTCAAAATGAATCCTCTTCTGACAAATTGCTTGCCGGTGATATTCAATTTACAGGATTTTTTTTTTTTCTCATTCAAATTCACTTGACAAAAGCACTGCATGGATAGAATAAAAAAATTGGCACCTCACCAAATAAGCCGAGGCCTTGCAATTCCTATTTTCCATAAACGTGTGAAATATATGTGCAACTGCAGTCCTTTACTGTATGTGAAGCATATCAATACTGTTGATGTACTGTAGAACTGGCTTTACCTTTGATTATCAGGGTGGGAAGAGACCAGGTCATTATTATGCACTACCTCCTACTGCCACAGGAGGGCAGGCTGGTCGTTGCACTTTGATGCAAGTTCAAAAGACCATTCAGACCATTGAGAAATCCTATATTGCTGATGATGCACATCACTGTCAGTTCATCTCGGCTCCCTCTTCCTCCCAATCAGCTCATTCAATAAACTGGATGTACGTCCAAAACCTGAGTGCATCTCAATGGGTTGAGATGTTCTAGTTATAAACAAATAGGTACAGCCGGCTTTAGTTTGCATCACGGAAAAAAAACAGAGGGAGCAAGAACTGCTTGCGTGGCAGCACTCTTAACTAGGCCACCTTGGTTTGCTTTAACCCAGGTGTAATTCACAAAATAAATCATCCTGCTTTTTTCATACATTTAGAACCGCGGAAATCTGTCTCGGTGAAGCCAAGATTGCGGGATGATCCACGACCCGCGTCGTGGCGAGCAATCCTTTAGGATGCCATCTTTGTTATAAAGTGGGCCGCATGAATTAAGGCAGCCCTGTGGAAAGAGAGCAGGGGGTCGAAATGATAATTGAGCGTGCTGCGTGGAAGCAATTCAGCATACGGACTCACAAGCTCTGCTGTCATGTGAAAGAGACGTGATATTTCTAAACCTGAATAGATCTGCTTTCGACATATTAAAAAATGCATGAATTTGCTTTTTTGACAAAATGAAATATATTTTATTCCACTCTAACGTTGATGTATGAGGCTACAGCCAGAAGGCAACTAGCTTAGCTTGTAGCATAAATACTGGAAACAAGGACAAAGGCTTTCTTCTGTCCAAAGCTCTAACTATTGGACAGAACAAGGCTGGCTGCTTCATGCTGTGGCGTCATATTTAACACACAGATGTGTGAGAACGGTATCAATTTCCCAAAGTGCTGACATAACCCTTTAAGGGCTATTCTCTGAAAAGGTCCGTTACACAGTACATGTTATTGATCCCTGACGTGTTCCAGGGCCCCCGTCAAGAGTTATTTAGACTTCTCCAACACAGTGCTTGTTTGACATGTAACAACTGTTTAGAATGTGCTCACTTTGTCAGTTACCACCAATCTCGCAAGAATAACGTCACTCATGGTTTGAACAAGAAATCACACCACCACGTTTTTGTGCTCAGAATGTGACTCTGCTCTATATATTTCAATTGGACGTAACGGTATAAAACATTGGCCTGTTTTACGGTCTTTTTGCATTGAGCGCTATTAATCGGTGTAACAATCTAAATTTGAGATGTTGTTTAAATATGGTGTTTGAAGAACACATTCATGCATTAACAATGGAGAATATCATCAGTAAACATCTAAAAATGTTCGTCTGTTAGCTCTGAAAAAGCCCCAGGCTTCAAAAACCGAATTGAGCTCGCTCCACTGAGCCTGCTATTATCTTTTAGATGTGCAGACCAAATGATGCTATCACCAAAGGAAATGCATCCCAATGATATATATTTTTATCCCCCTCCCCCCCCCACACACGCTATTGTTCTTCAGCCATCACGAGAGGATTATTGTGGAAAGCGGTGCAGGAAGACGGATGATTTTCTTTGCATTGTTCTGCAGACTCCAGTATCAACATGGTAAGGACAAAAATCAACAGTTATATATTACTTAGAAAAAGGGTTAAACAGTCTTTGAACAAACCTTGAATGTAATAATGTGGAAACTAAGTAGAATATAACAAAGTGCTGGAACAATGGCTGATTGTTATTCAGAGAGCGTTAAACACTAACAGGGATTTTCTAGTTTGAGCTCCACAGTTTTGACAAATGTGGCGTCCCGTTGTTCAACAAATGTTCAACAATGCAATGACATTTTAATTGCGAGAGAAAAGATTACGTTCTTTTTCGTTGCATTTGCAGTGGGACGATTTCCAAGCCTTCTGGAGAAAGAAGCAGGTTTCTCCATTCTGAATTTTTAATTAGTCAAAGAAGGTGAGACCTACACAGGAACATCACCTGACCCCCCCACACCCCCTCCCCAAAAAAGAAAATGAAAAAACTCTGCGTTTCATCCGGGGCAATGTATGGAATGAGTGTTGCCTTACTGAAAACACAGGCACTTGGCCGCGGGTCACTGGTTTGCTGGGGCAACACGGTCATTTGAGGCTCGTGTGAGTGTCCGGGCGGCACCCTGGCTTCTCCCGTTACAGGCCAGACGGGGGCCGGCGGCGTGTGACCCGTGTTCCTCCGAGACACCCAAGAGTCCGGTCCAGTTTCATTCGGTGATGTAATGCGGTCCGGCTTCAGGTGGACGTCAGGCTTCAGGTGGACGTCGGGGACGCGGCGGAAGGCCTTAAGTCTCGTGTGCAGCTTCGCCGGATGTGAGTTGTTGTTTGTGTTCAACCCTGCCACATCTTTCTTTTAATTTCCCTCTCTCCTTCTTCTTCTCACCTCTGTACGTCGTTGAAGCCGATGGATTAAGCCCCGGGACACTAGCAACATTTTTGCTCAATTATAAAGCATTTCTCCCTCAGCAGCACGTTTGCATCACTCTGATCCGTCTGATCGCCTCTAAAAACCTTTCACATTCTGTCTGAGCACACGGGCGCAGTAAAGCCCAGCCAGCAACTCAGTGTCTACATGTTTTTCGTAATAAATCTGAGTTTACGACGTCAGCAACTATTGCATTGCCATTACATTTCGTGCGGACATTTACGCTCTCATGAGATTCGACTTGAATGATCATCTGACATTTCCTCCATGCTGATGTTTAACTTATCCTGTTAAATATCAGCATCTGCTCCAAGGTTTGCCACACAATCCAGTTGATTGGCCACTCAATCCAATGGGTGTTGAGATGTTCTCCTTTAACATCTCAACCATTGCTGTGAAACTGAATACAGATGTTCATGTTCTTTGTTTGAAGAATTAAAAAAAAAACTCGTCTGACTTTTTAGCAATGGGCATCATCCAAAATTCAATGCGTTGTTTTATGACTAAATGCCTGCCAAATATGACATTCCCATCAGCTTCGGCTGTACGTTGTGTCACGCCCTGTCATTTCTTTCCTGTATTTTCTTAAATAAACTTGCAGCATCTCCTACATTCACAGCACATTAAATTCATCATTGTGTTTTGCTTCAATCCAATTTTTCCATGTGGGTAATGAGACTGAACTGATGCGAAAGATGGAGAACGGAGCGGAGAACGACCTCACCGGCCCTCAACCTGCTTCGATTAGGATCCATCATGGGCTGAATGTGTACGACGACGAAGAAGCTACAGTTGTTTGGTAACTCTGGATGGCTTACAGATGTTGCGCAGGCAGAGTGTCCTTCCATCCTCCGGCTTACAGGCGGTTCATCATCGATGGCTGCGGCTTTACCTCCGGGGGCTGGCAGCGGGCAGCGGCTCAGCCTCATGCAGCCAAAGCTGGCTGTCTGCTCCCAGAGGTTGGAAGCCAATGCTGAAAAACACAGCTTTTTAAAAAAAATGTTTGGCTTTTTTT